AAATTACCAGGTTGTGTGACCTCTGGGGAGGTCAAGTGGAAATTACCAGTTGTGTGACCTCTGGGGAGGTCAGGTGGAAATTACCAGCATGTGTGACCTTTGGGAGGTCTGATTGAAAATAATTTGGAAGTATAAAACTACATATGTATATCTGATGTGCATGATGACCAGTTTTTTTTTGGGGGGGGGAGTGCTATAGTTATTGCTTGAATAAAGACTTTTGTATTTATTATTCTAAATGTCCCTAAATTGTAATACAACTGCACTAATGAATAAAGATGGTCTTTCTCCTACTCCCAAAGTCGCCACATTACAGCATTTTTTTTTTCACCATTGAAAATGTGTATTTTGAGTAATTATATTCAGTACTGTGCACTATATTTTAATAGCATAACTTTATTTTAGAACTTTACCTTAATTTAACACCAGGGTGTAGTTGCATTGTTAATATATTTATGGGAGATAATGAGGAATCTATTTTCATACCATTTTTGGGGGGGAAAATATTGAAATTAAAGCACATTTCTTGTGGAAAAGTGTGTATGCTGTTTTTTGTTTTTGTATTTCTGATTGAGTTTGAGTGCATTTGCAATGTGTTGGGTAAAATTTCCAGGCTGAAGAGAGAATTTCGACATCTTGATTGCCATAAGCTGACACCTTTCCCTCCCCATTATGGTTCAACTCTAGAAACACTTTTTCTATCGTTAACTGGGTATATAAATGGTTTTCGGAGTGACTCTGGCAATTAATCAGAGAGGCGTGATTTTGGAATTATGGCGCTGGTGAGCATGTTGATGCTCATTGGAGAGATCTCTGCATTCACAATTACTTACAGATATATGAAGAAGTGAGCTGTGTGGGCGGGGTCGCTACGCAGTATGTGTTCAAATTCATGTTACCGGCCTTGTAGATGTATTTCACACAGACTGTATACGTCGTCGCATGGGGCCAATATTGAACACAATCCAACACAACGATCACCCTGTAATTGTGCTCCTTCATCAAAATTCGGACTCTGAATTGAATGGGTGTATAAAATTTGTACTCTGACATGTAGTTGAGACGTGACCTTTAAAGCATTTCCAGTTCTGCCAAGAAGGCATGTGGTGTTATTCACCCAATCACTGATTGAATCATTCAGAAGGAATAAATAACGTAATGTGATTGAACTTTATTATCACACCATGAACAAAAAACTTGTATGTGTGTGTGTGTGTGGAGGGGGGGGGGTAATTTTGGCGTGTTTAGTGCCAGTAGAATAAATAATGTTCCGAATGAGACAGTTGTAACTCCTGTTAGTTTTGTCAAGAGAAAACTGTAACCTGTACCGCGAAAGGAAATCAAAGCTGTTTCACAGCTCTATTGTTTTCTCTGCTGCTCCGATGGGTGTGAACGCTTCCCCCC